TATATATATATATATATATATCATCATCATCATCATGGGGGCTGACGCCGACGGGGGCACATAGCCGCATCCACCCTTCGCTTCACCTACGAGGATCCCTCATGGCTAGACGCCAGGCAGGGACTCGGCCCATCTCTAGTTCTTCACGGCAGGTTTGGTCGAGCTGCCCAAGCCATGACTTCCTCGGTCGTCCCACAGGCCTCCTCCACCCAGGGTTGTCTCGAATAGAGACGACCTGATGGGCAGGATCATCCTGAGGAAAGCGAGCCAGGTGGCCGTATAGCCTGAGTTGGCGATCACGGATTGTGCATATAACAGGGCTTGTACCAGTCTCACGGTGCAACCGTTGATTGGACACATGGTCCCACCAACAGTACCCCATGATCTGGCGCAAGGACCTATTGCAAAAGGCTTCAAGACGAGCCTCCAAGGCACAGGACAATGTCCAGGTTTCGCTACCGGTATAGCAAAACTGGCATTACCAGGGCCTTGAAAACCCGAAGCTTGGTCCTTCTGCACAGGTACCGACATCTCCAAATACTCTTGTTGAGAGAGTTCATGACCCCTGCTGCCAGGCCAATCCGTCTGCTGATTCATGGTCTGACAGCCCAGAGTTATGAACTACACTACCAAGGTATGTAAAGCTCTCTGTGACTTCAATGTCCTCGCCGCAAGCACGTACCGACTGAACAGGTTCTCCTATCAAGTCCCAAATTCCTGGACCTTGGTCTTGGTCCAGGAGACCTCTAGACCCAGGGGCTTCGCTTCATTGCTAAATGCATCGAGAGCCGCCACTAGGGTTTCCAAAGACTCAGATAGAATGGCAACGTCATCAGCAAATTCAAGGTCTGTAACCTTGATATTGCCCAGCGTTGCCCCACAATGACTTTGAACAGTAGCTCTGCCCAGTATCCAGTCCATGCAAGTGTTGAAAAGAGTTGGTGCAAGGACACAGCCTTGCCTCACTCCTGAACTAACAGGAAAGAAGCTCGACAGGCCCCCACCACACTTTACAGCACTTTCAGTACCAGTATACAGGCTTGCTATTAGTCCAATAATCCTTGTTGGTATTCCTCTCAGCCTCAGGATCTCCCAAAGTGACTCCCGATGCACTGTATCAAACGCCTTCTTGAGGTCGATGTAGGCTGCAAGCAGCCCACGCCCGAACTCACGACGGCGCTCTACAATGACTCAAAGCGCAAGGATACGGTCTATTGTGGACTTACCAGGAGTGAATCCGGATTGCTCCAGTCTCTGGTGCCTCAGTAGATGGTCTCTGATACGTCTCAGAAGGATGTGGGCGAGAACCTTGCCTGGTACACTGAGCAGTGTGATGCCTCGGTGATTGCTGCAGTCCCAACGGTCCCCCTTCCCCTTCCAGAGAGGGATGACCACACCCCTCACCAGGTCAGGAGGAATGGAACCAGACTGCCAGATGGCAGCCAGGACAGCATGTAACCCCCGTGCCATAGGTTCACCACCAGCCTTTAACAGTTCAGCTGGTATGCCGCAGATACCAGCTGCTTTACCACTCTTCAGCTTGGAAATCGCCCCCCTAACTTCAGTTAGGGAGGGAGGGTCCTCACTGATCTGTGGATCCGGCAGCGGGATCTCGACACTACCCGCATCCAAGTTAACTGTTGGTGGGTCAACCTGGTACAGCTGCTCAAAATACTCAGCCCAACGTCCCCGCACCGCAACAGGATCTGAAACGATCTGACCACTTACTGAGCGAACTGATGTCACCTGTGAAGAGGGCTTGGAGTTCAGCTTTCTCAGGGCTTGGTATGCAGGACGAAGGTCATTTACTAAGAAATGGCCTACCTCCTCTGCACGACTCCTAATAAACTGTTCCTTGTCCCTTCTTAACAGGGACCGAGTTCTGCGCACATGAGAACGGTGCAATTCCCGATCCCCTGTCAGACGAGCCGCACGACATGCATCTGTGACTTCCAGTGTCTCCCGCGAGATGGAATTCTGTACTGCTCTCGGGCGTACACCAATCATATCTTGAGCTGCATCAAGCGTTTCACGCTTAAAGGTATCCCACAGAAGAACAGGGTCTGTCAGACTGCCAAGCACTGCGAAACGATCAGAGATTGCCTCAGCAAACCCGCGGGCACACTCCCCCTCCCTCAGCCTGTCCAAATGAAACACCCTAGGGTGATCATTTGACCGCTGGGGGTTTTGAAGTGGACCTGGAGGGTAGCCACAACCAATCTATGGTCAGTACCACAGAACTCAGCACTCCTGTACACCCTGCAATTCTGAAGGATCCTCCAACGAGTGCTAACAAGTATGTGGTCGATCTCCTTGGCTGCGTTACCCGCATCACTGTACCATGTCCAGCGATGTGGGTCTGGGCGCTGGTACCAGGAGCCATGTATATATATATATATATATATATATATATATATATATATATAATATATATATATATATATATATATACATATATATAGAAAGAGAGAGAAAGAGTGAGAAAGAAAGAAAGAGAGAAAGAGAGAAAGAGAGAAAGAGAGAGAAAGAGGAGAGAGGAGAGAGAGAGAGAGAGAGAGAGAGAGAGAGAGAGAGAGAGAGAGAGAGAGAGAGAGAGAGAGAGAGAGAGAGAGAGGAGAGAGAGAGAGAGAGACAGACAGACAGACAGACAGAGAGAGAGAGAGAGAGAGACAGACAGACAGAGACTGAGAGAGAGACTGAGAGAGTGAGTGAGAGAGAGAGAGAGAGAGAGAGAGAGAGAGAGAGAGAGAGAGAGAGAGAGAGAGAGAGAGAGAGAGAGAGAGAGAGAGAGAGAGAGAGAGAGAGAGAGAGAGAGAGACAGAGAGAGAGACACAAAGAGAGAGAGATACAAACAGAGAGAGAGACACAGACACAGACACAGACACAGACATATAAAATGAAATAAAATTATATGTAAATCTAACATTTTTGAATCCAGTGGTAATGATTAATCCTACCTCATCGTGGATGCTAATACAAAATCTTCCTCTTATTTTGTACTCCTGGAATAACCATCTCATTGAAACAAGCATGATGTGAAGATAATCAACAGCTGGGAAAGAAAATTTTGGAATGGCAGATGTAAACAGCTGAAATAATTATAATTTTTTTGAATGCTCAATGTAATTTCAGAATGGACCATTAAAATCTTTCATAGATAAACATGATTTTAAAGAAATGACAAATTATGAAAGTTCTAAACTTAAAAATCATTTACAAACAATAAAAAGTACCTATAAATTAAAATAATGAAAACAATAATTAATATATATATCTAAAATAATCTAGTACATGGTCACTGAAATTAACCACACAAGCAACAGTTATACAATTGTTTTAGAAAATGAATCACACATTAAACAAAGCAACTTACCTGAGCTCTGGACAACCCAGTTCACTCTGCTAGTCATGTACTGGTCATCCACATACTTTGCTTCAAGGGCACGAGTTACTCTTGCCCCTAGTACTGGTGTCCGTGGCTCCTCAGACCTGGCTATTGCTTCTAAACAGTTGAACATATGTGACTCCGAGCCACCTACCCATACAGCAGGACCAGCTACTACATCATAAAAGGATGCCTCGATGTTGTTATATCTGGCCTGTCTCAACAACTTATTTATCTGAGCGAAAGAGAATTATCATATAACATAAATGGCTTCAAACAATGTAATATAGTTATAAAAAGTAAAGTTCAGTAGCTCTCACTTATACAATTTATGAATCATAATTTTGGCAGAGGTACTGTGATAACAAAATATAAGTTTGAAAAATTTCTATGGAATTAGAAAAGGAAGTTGGAAAAGGGTTACTTATATGGAAACTGGGAGCTGGCAGTTGGAAGAAGGAGAGGGAGGGTGGCTAAGAGTCGGCATTTATGTATTTATTCTGAGGTGTGCTAATGTGAGTTGATGGACTGTGTCTGCTTTGTTTGTGTGGATTGTGTTGTGGGAGTCTGTTACAGCCATAAATGGTACATGGAAAGTATGAATTTTTGAAGGAATCTGTACTAGTGAACTTTGACACATTTCTGGTTGTAAATGTTATATTTATTAATTGTGTTTGCATGGCGTAAATATTCATCTTTATGTATATCAATTTGATTGTCTGTGATTTTGAAAATAGTTGCTAATCTGTGTGTCTGTCTGCACTGTGTGAGGGTGTCCATATTTAACTGTTGCTTGATACATGTTGTGATGCCAAAAGTTTTAGTGAAATTCTAATGAAACTGGCAGCTGCAGTGTTCATTTTTTCTAGGTTACTAATAATTAATTACATGTAGGTCTCACACTGCTACACAATACTCCAGTATTGAATAAATAAGTGTGTTATGCTTGCATATAGCCATATAGTTTTCTACTCTGGAAACCCAGTGTTCTGTTTACTTTGTGTTGTTTATTGTCTATCAGTGTTAAATTTTGCATTCCCCCTGCTCTGCGGTGCATTTGAAAGAAAGGAAATAACTATTTCTCAAACTTGACAAGGCTTCCATAACAAATATACTATAACAGTGGGTACCTCTTTGCGATCAAGAGCTTCTCCACTGATTGGATAATTCAGTTCCAAGGCAAGATTTTGTCCCATCTTATTGAGGTACCATCCTTTTTGTCCCTTGGTAGTTGCAAACAGTTGTGTGGCACGTTGCTGAGTTTCTTCTTCTGACAATTTAGGATTGAACTGCCGCAACAGCCTTTGAATGAAGCGTAATCCTGCACCATAAATTCTTCCGTAATTGATAACCTGCAAGAACAAAGAAATTGACAATTTTGCAATGATTTTTTGAATTCTACAAAAGTATTATTTCTTTATCAGTGAGTCTTTAAATACAGGGGGTTGAAGATTGAATAGTTATTGGAAACTAAAGGATACATAAAATTGAGTTAGAATATATATGCACAAACACACACACACACACACACACACACACACACACACACACACACACACATCTAAAATTCACCTTGGCATGATCACGTGATATGCCTGCTGTACTGGCAGTTCGACTGTGCATATCTGAACCATCAGACTTCTTCCCTTGCAATGTCATCCAGCCAAGGGCAGTAGCTCCATGCTCACCAGAGAAATATGCATCACCAAGCACAGCAGCAATCCACAATTCCTGTGAGTCAACATCTGCTCCAACAAAATGGTATCCTGGAAGAAAATAAAAGAAGAAAATTTGGTTGTATTTTTTTACCATATCTTTAAAAAATATAATAAATACAGTTTGAAAAGAAACTTCAAATACAAAGAAAAGAAGAGAAAACAAAGAACCAACCAGGAGGGGCTTCAACCATGGCTTTCAGTTCAGAACCAATGCGATCTATGTAGGCATTAGAGGCTGTCATCCACGTAGGTTCCACTGCACGCCGAGTGATAGTACCCGCTGTTACTACCATTGGCAAAATAATACCAGTTCTACATTCCTTCTTTTCATTAGCTGGAAGGTAAAGCCATGTGACAAACATAATACTAATAAACTTTTTATATTAAATGTATAAATCTACATGGCAGTGACTGCAGGCCAAAATGAAAAAGAATATAAGACTATTTAATCTATTGATTTATAGAATTTTTGGCAAAGTCAAAAGATTCAGTAGCTATTGTAGCATTTATTCTTGCATATCTATGCATAGATAAATTAATCTGCCACATGCATTTAAATATCTTACTAGTATACCCTTTACAATAGATACAAATCAAGACAAAGGAATTGGATATGAATCTTACCTTCCAAAATATCTTTACCAGTTTTCTCATTCTGGTCATTCCATATGACCATCTGGGAAAGTATTCTGTCTCTGTTATTCCGCCAATATGACAATGATTTGCTGGTCTTCAGAACTAGCTCAGCTATATCTCCAAAATAACTGCTTAGAGTTTTATCCTCAATTTTTTTAAGAAAATCTTTTGCAAGGGGATTACCTACACGATTGCCTGGTCCATCTTTATGCGGTAATGGAATAAATACAACACCTGGAATCCCAATATCATACCCTCTTTCTTCATCTTTTTTCTTTTGATTCTGGGCATTTAATTTCTTTTTTTCACATACTTTGACATCTGAATCACTCTCAGACAAAAGGGATAACCAATCTTGTTCTGTTTCAGGCAGTTCATTTCTCTTATTTTCCTTATCTTTAAGGAAACTTTCAATACCAATTTTCTGTCCACTATACATCTTATAGAGAGCATTCACTGGAAAAATCTGATGCACACTATTGCTGTCCAATGTAGTTTTCTGATGTGGTATTTCATTCACACTATCATAAATAGGTTTCAAGTATCCCCAACCATATTTTCGCTCATAATGCAAAGGAAGCCCATTCCAGGTTAATCTTAGTAGTCTTGGTACAACCTGTAAACTAGTGCTCATGTTTTCTGGTTCAGGTGTACCCTCCCTTTCTCCAGTGTGTGCGCATAATTTCCTATACCAGTTTGGATATCCAGGTAACTTCTTTACTCTTCCTTTTGGTACTGACCAGTCAAGACTCCAAAGCCATGGGTCTTTTTCATACTCTTTGTTATCTACATATTTCAGTGCTCCTCTTGCTTGTTTAACCAATTCTTCATTTAGCAGTCTTTCCATTCTATGGAACTCAGACTCTGCAGCACTGACATACTTACTCCAGTTTTGTGTTACTGGTAAAAATGTTGTTCCCATTTCCAACATACCCGCAAAACTTACTGGATGAGGAAATCGTTCAAAAAATAGAGGTAATAACTTTACTAGTACCATGTGTGTAGCTTTCACATCACTAGCACAGTAACTCATCAGATTTTGAAAATCTTCACGAATATCAACAATAGTGCCTTTGACAAATACATCACGTATATCCTTTTTCAGTTCTTCATCTGTGCGGCAATAAAACTTAAAGACTTCATTAAGACTGTTTTGGCATCCAACAAACATCCAAGGAAGCCTCACTTTCTTATCAGCATTTTTATTTTTTAACATCATTGCTCTTTGCTCTGAAATAAGTCCACTTACAGCAATGTGCATTGACATTGTATCCACAAAACGTAGTGGCGTTCCATCCACTTGATACTGCTCACATACCCTTAATCTATCATAACTAACATTGTGCCCAATAATAACTCTTGGCATGCTCTTATCCTGATCAAAGCCAGTTTCTTTCACTGATTCAAGAGGTATAAGGTCATTGTAAAGAACTTCTTGGGTCCCTTCTCTTTGATCTTCAACCAATAAATTACTACACCAAGAATACCAATACTTATCTGAAACTGCAGTAGCTAAAGTTGGCCCTTTCCCTTCTTCTACACAAACTTCTACATCAAAAACTAAAGCTTTACAGTCTGGGTAGTCAACTGCAGTGAAACTTCCATTAGAATTATAACGAGTCCATCCAGCTAAAAACTGCCATTTTCTGGGAATACTTGGTATTTCTGCACCTACCAATTGATTAAGCAAATCTTTATAGGGTGCACACTGCTCTTCAGCAATAATGCGAAAATGTTGATCAAGTTCTCTATCTTTTAATG